ATATATATATATACACATTTCTGCAAAACATGCAGAAATGTATGTTTTATTTTCAGTGTGTAGTGTGTGATCGTGTTTCCTTTTGGGCAGTTAAGAAGGAGCTTTTGCTGCTTCGTAATTTAATTGCTGAGCCATGACAAATCACCAAGACAGAGCAATTACTTGCAGATGCCACACAAAGTTGTTGATATYGCTTGTTGGCTTATAGCCAAAACTAAGGGATGAAAAAAACTTGGGTTGTTGTCATGCAGTGCTTTCTAACTCAGTCTACCTCAACATCTTTGTTATCTGGATTTTTCTTTTCTCTTTGTCTTTTCTTATATCTCCCCCACACACTGTTCTACAGTAGCTGCCACATTTGACAGCATTATACTGAAAAAAGAAATGTGTGGAAATAACACAGTGACAGCATCACATCCCATTGGTGGCCAACATGATTTTCCCTTTGCTATCTTGGCCATGTGTAACACACAGGCAATGCTTTGGTGTCATGGTGGTTACAGTGTCATGAGAGAAGAATGCAGATACAAAAAAAGAGAGAAAAATCAATTGTTCCTTTCAAGGGCAGAAGATGAAAGCTTTGTCTTTCAGAAGAGACAAAACCACCTGTGCTGGGCGTAGAGCTCCACAGGTAAACTGACCAGGCAGAGAAAAATGAGCAGAAAAGGAAGGTTGGGTGCCAAAGCAAAGACTTTGACTGTGAAGTAAGATCAAAAACATGACAACTTCAGATGTGTCTGAAAAGGCTGGAGAAAAAAAAACTCCTGACATGAGGGAGACAGAACAAACTCAGTAGAAGACTTTGATACAGTGTTTTCTCAAGAAACAAAAAGAAGGAGAAGGAAGGATGGTAGAAGGTTAGTATCTAGATGACATGAGAGTWTGTGTGTTAAAAGGAAAATAACTAAATAGTTGTCTGTAGTTTCTTTTCTGCTTCAAAGTAGTGCTAAGAGCAAAGCAGACCATCCCCTGAAAGGCAACAGTGACTGTTGTCGTTTTCTTCCATTGTAACATGTAAAAGCATAGAGCATCATGTTAAAAAATGCAGACTTCAATAGTGCAATAGTATATCTTTAGCTGTCAATGTTTAACATATTATCTTGATGAGATAAAATATTTTATCATCTAAAATCAAAAATCATATAATTAAATCCTTATTTTATACTCCAAGTAAATCAAAATTATACAGATAAGCACTTCTTTATCTATTTTGCTGTTTTTATTTGTTAAAATAACATGGTGTCTTTAAAAACCTAAACATTGGTCTATCTTCATTAATTCACAGCAGCTGTCAAAACTATTAGCATAYCCTCTGGGGGATATACTTTACACAGCTTTACCTCGTGATGAGGCTGCACTGTGTAGGAGCACACTCCCAGTTGGTGGATCCCTGTTACTGGTAAATTGGGGTGTGCCTGAACAAACTGGGAGGCTAAAAAGTGTGCCGCAAACTAAAAGCAGCCGGACAGGTGGAGCTCTATAGCCTCGACAGGTAACATGTCTAGGAGAAGGAAAACTCTCCTCAGCTACCCCTAGTGGATGGCAACTTGAAAAACACTGAGCATACAAGGAAWTTAACTGTCAACAAGGGATTATAAAATCTCCAGGGACCCTGCCTGCAGCACATTCATCATGAATGTCATAGGCAGTCTTACAACCACACCTCTGGCCTATATGGTACCAGGCTGGACAGGCCATTTTTACTCCGGCCTCAAGACCTGATGCCTATATGTCAGGCTCAAGTCAAGTCAAGTCAAGTCAAGTAATCTTTAATATCCCCATGGGGCAATTTGTGTCACAGCCAGCAGGAACAAAAACAATCATCAACCACAAATACAGTAAAAAACATAAAAAAAAACATAATGGTATAGGTGTAAAAACTACAAACACACAACAATATGTTTTTAAAATGACGATAACAGCAGGTAAAAAGGAGTTCTTAAATATGTTGGTTCGACATCTTTTTACAGCAAAACTGCATCCTGATGATAAAAGAGAAAACTCTGTGAAGACGGGGTGGTTAGGCTCAGCTAAAATTGCCTGAGCTTTCTTTAAGGATCTGTTTCTGTGGAGAGTAGTGATGTCATTTAATGGGACATTAGCAATTTTACTGCAAAGACTGACACTATGGTGTATGCATTTTTTGTTTTTTTTGTGTCAAAAACCCATACCAAATAAAAGAAAAAGTAAGAAAAGATTCAATAAAACATTCTCTTAAAACTACTGTCCATGATAAAACTCCTTAATTTACGATAAAGGTATAGATGTTGATGGGCTTTCTTGCATAAAGTGTCCACATGTTTGTCAAAAGAGAGCTTGTTGTCAATTACAGTACCCAGATATTTATATTRCTCCACAATGTCAACTTGTTGATCATTAATGTGCACAGGAGAGATGACATTTGTGTTTTCCCTGAAGTCAACAATCATTTCTTTGGTTTTGTTGATGTTTATGTCTAGAAAGMATGACTTACACCAGTTAATAAAATGTAACACCACTGGGCCATGATCAGTCATCTGACTTTAAAAGGGACACAATGACAGAATCATTAGCAAACTTTAAAATATGCCGTCATGCGAACTGGCTCTGACACGTGTTAGTTTATAAAACAAATAAAGGGGGTGGGGCAGAACACAACCCTGTGGAGAACCAGTGGAAGAGAGCAAAGCATCAGATAAACCATCATGTACTCTGACACATTGAGATCTGGTAGTTAAAAAACCCATTAGCCAACATATGAGACCTGATTCAATTTTATGTATACTGTTTAACCTGTCTGCTAGAATATGTGGCTGTAAGCAGTTAAAAGCAGAAGAAAAATCAATAAAAACAAGACGTGCAAAAGTATTAGCTGCCTCAAGGTGTTAAAGAACCAAGTTCAGTAAAGTGCATACAGCATCATCCACCCCTCTGCTGGGCCTGTTGGCAAATTGCAGTGGATCCAAGCTGGTTTTAACAGTAGTTAAGAGGGCTGTCTTAATTACTTTCTCAAGTGACTTCATAACAAAGGATGTAAGGGCTACAGGCCTGTAGTCATTCGGCTGTTTAGGAACTCTGTTTTTGGGGATTGGGACAATGACGGACTCTTTCCATAAACGTGGGACCTTATTGAGGTTGAGGAAGTATCTGAAAATATAACAAAAAATAACAGATAACTGCTCCGCACAGTTCTTAAGTAAGCGGCCGTCAATATCATTAGGACCTGGACATTTCCCCTCCGTCACACCACAGAAAAGTTTCTGGTTCGTGCCCTCATCCACCTGGACAGAATTTTGTCCTGCTWTTGTATCTTTAAAATGGGATTAAAGATTAAAGATTACTTGACTTGGCTCTGGGCAACAGATGATTTAGTGCCTTGGGACTCGGCAAGGGCAAACATATCTGCCTATGCTGCAAGGTCTACAGGGAGTACCCAGTACAAGGGTAGCCCCTTGACCACACCCCGTCGGGGAGCAGTCAGCGCTTTACAAGTGCTTGGGTTTCCAGGTGATGAGYGCACTGACATGTTGTTGGTGTCCTCTAATGGAAAAAAAAACATCCTAGTTTCAGTTGTTTTGGGGATAATGGAATATATAGAGCAACTTGCATCACTYTAAAGATGCCAGTATGTTGRTGTGTACTTGCCTTAGCAGGGTACAGGCATAGCCTTCATCCAGGAATCTTGGACAATATWTATGGTATAYGGCCTGGGATTCTCTGGGGGCCKACTTTTATATGARYTGAGTAGCCACAGACCCAGAGCAGCAACAGCCCTGACAAGAAGCATGAGATACACTGCACTGCCCCACCTAAAAACAGGTGATGCTGTAGTATTGGGCATTCATTRGAATGGCAAATCCAGAACAATCATTGCAGCCTCTGTTTGTCTGCCAATTGATTCACAGCAGCCACRTCCATCATAGCCTGGCACAATATGTGCTTTGCTGTTTCTTGGACATATATAAAATATAGAGAGAGCACCTGACAGTAAAGGTGTAGATTAGACAACAACAAATTGGCTTCTTTTCAAATTTTTTGAAAGCATCTTCAACTCTGGGGGGCTTTCCACAGGGAGGAGTAATTTCACCCCTTTGCTGGCTCCTGGTTGTCAACCACCTACTAACGGTTTAGGCAATAGACATACACAAAGGTACGCATATGACCTGGTCCTATCTGACTCACAGCACACTAGAATCTGGGACTGTTGCTGCTCTTCCAGRAACTGCAGAACCTAGAGACAGAATGGTCAAAAAAATTTAGCCAAGTTTTAGGACAGAGATTGAAGCTTGGTCTGCCTGGAGTAACCTACATATCTATGGTGGGCATATATCCCGATAACTTCTACTGTTTTATAGATGAATGTCTTCTGAGGGGGTCAGTAAGTACAGGGGTGCTGTTTTTCCACAACCAAAATAAGAGAGTACAGATACCCACTAGGTGGTACTACAACTGTATCTCAAACCATGATATAGCCCATAGATGTGGTGCCTCTCAAAGACCTTCATTGTACACAGGTAGAAATACTCACACTAACATATGGCCAAATTGCTATCAGAGTTCTCCATGGGCCATACTTTACATCAAGGCTTGTAGGCTGTGTCCAAGCAGCCAATCCATCTGGCTTGGCTGTGTCCAATGGGTACCAGGAGATACTTGCATTAATGGTAACAAGATAGGTGACATTGCAAAAGCTGGTAGTCAGGCCAACTTTAAAAGACCAGAGCCTGTTGTAGGTATTTCAACAGCAGTCTGTAGGACTGCTTTACAGGCTTGGATTAGARATCAACACTTAATCTGCTGGAGGGAGCTAATGGATTGTAGACGCACTTCCCTAATGGCATGGAAAATATATCAACCAGACAAAAAATAAAAATGAAAATGAAAAAAACTTTAAGTACACTGACTGGAGTTTTAACTGTGTACAACATGCTTAACTGCCATAAAATGGCAATGGGACTCCATGACAATGGTCTGTGTGATGTCTGTTGCATTGACATAGAGACATCTTTGCACTACTTAGGCCACGGCCTGGCTCTGAGCAGCCAAATAAAAAAAAAATAAAATAAAAAAATTGGGGACCACTTTATGGAACCTGACAAGCGTAGAACAGTGATTTTTTAACCTTGTGTCCTATGAGGGATGCAAAGGTTTGTTTAAAGCTCAGTGTCCTTTTGGGCAGATCAATGAGCCCACTTATGAGGCCRATGCTCATTCGGGTTATTTATCTATCACCATAACCATAGAAATGTAACTCTTTATCTGATAATCCACAAATAAGGGTAGTTAGCAACAACACTATTCAATTTGTAGATTTTAGATTTTTTTAACTTTAAAAGTGGGTAAAGAAAAGTGATAGATCTCTGCAAAAATGGTGGGAAAAAAAGACAAATTATTTCCCATATGATTCTTCACAAAGGCATAACTTGCTTGATTCATCTCGCCAAAAACTTACAGAAAAAGAGATTAGAACCTAGTTGATTGTTTTTACTTTAACACATTTAATCTATAGCTATGATACTTTAAGTAGCTTGACTTCTGCCTTTTTGATTTTGTTTTTTATTTATTTATTTTTCTTTACAAATTACAGTAACAAGAACTGGTTTTAAACGGTTCACCATTACAAAAAATCAAACAGTTTGAAGTAATACTAAATTGCACAAAAATAAATAAAAATAAAAATAAAAATAAAAATAAAAATAAATAAAATAAAATAAAATAAAATAAAATAATAATAATGATGTTTTGGCACAGCTGTTTAGTATAAACTTACAGCATTCCTGTGGGCTTCGATTGTTGCGAATTAGAACCTTTTGGTTTGCTGTGCGAAACAATCTGGTCCAGTTGACTGTGTTGTAGTAGCAAAGCTGGCTGTTTTCTGCAACGTGAACAATCCCAGCACTGATCTCTCTGAGGGACTGCAACTGCAGTGATGAGATGCCCTGCTGCTTTAACACCAGCAGCGAGATCCCACTGAGAGGGCAAAACAGGTGGAGGTGAGAGGAAGACAGGGCCAGACAGGAACAAGAGAGATGTGAGAGGAGAAGGAGGAAAAGTTAAGATTGATGTGAGACAGGGGTAGAAAGCAAACAGAGATGAGGAATAAATAGAAGCATGAGGAAAACATATTCAATTTTCAGATGTAGTTTGAATATTTAAAACACAGAGCAAGAACATGTTACAGAGCATTTGCACTATTAATGCTTTGCTAACACATTAGACAAAAGAACTAATGCACTCACACAAACATGAGCAAGAACATTATTGTTTTGTCGTCTTTGGTGACAGGCAATAATTTATTTCAATGTGTTCCAATTAACAAATCAAAATTGTGCATTTAGGCCCTTTTCTGGTTTGCTAATGCAATACATTTTTATTTTATTACAGAAAACAGTTAATTACTCTACTTGTCATTTTGTTTCATTTTGTTTAAAAAGCCTACCCTCGGTCCCCACTCCATCCCTTCTCCATTCGACTCCCACAGTTTAACTGTGACTGGCGGACAGCGGGATGTCAGAGTCATCATATAGACAGTGAGTAAGCAGGATCAAGTATGGGGCAAAGGTGAGAGGCAGGCTATAATTTGTATATGGCCTGCTGTTTTCATTTGCAGGCAGGTGTAGCGGACACACATACACACACGCACACTTAAAATTTGTACTATATAATCAGCCAAGACTCACATTGTTCCAATCCAAATGCCACTACACATTTTAGAGCACTTTTACAAAAACAGTAAAAAGTAAATGATAAATAATTATGTTCTATGGGWTAAAACTACTGAGCTCTTAAATGTCAAAATAAAATCGTGACCAAAGCATGTTCATAACACAGTGTTATTTGGAGGTAGGTTTTGCACTTAACAACAGAAATTAAGATGCAGAGCACTTAATCTTAAAAGCATGGACACATTTACTAATAATTTATGTAAAAAAAACTTCAAAATGTACAAACTAAGCTATGACAAATGTCATTACTAGACAAATGACATTTGTGATGTACAGAACTTTGCCAAGGGGTTTCAAAGATCTTAAAAAACATTTAGTGAAGGAAATGTTTCACTTGTGATTTTTTAATCAGCAAAATATGGATTTAATAAATAAAACTCAATCAATATTGATTTGAAATTTTAAAAGAAAGTGTCCAATAGCAGGCTTAAAAACAAAACAAAACAAAACAAAACAAAACAAAACTACCCGTAGCCTTTTCTTTTTCATGTTTAACTTTTATAAAAAATAAAAATAAAAACAATAATTTAATAGATTAACTAAAAGATTTGTGTATTATTTGTATAAAACAAACATTACATTTCACAAAACTGTGCAATGTGCCAATCAAAGCACAGCTTTAATCTTTTCAGGTACCTGTAAAGTGCTCTTCCCCCAATCGTTGCCAAGTTGGAGAAAACACTCAAGTCTGTTATGTTGTCTGGCCAGGACTGGATGTTGAGGTAGCCTAAATGGGGACAGAAATACACACACATGGGTTACTGCAAATACTAAAATCATTTGTGTATCATACTGTCAATTTTACACAGAGACAGGAGAAAAATGACAATGAATTAGTGGCTTCGTTTTAGAATTAGAGACCAGTTACAACACCACCTGAGTCTCATCTGAAAGCAGCCAAGCACTTTCTGAACCAAGTACACGTCAAAGGTGTGACAAACCCATAGTGGGTTCAGGTGCCAGCCATAATATGCACAAAGTCTGCCATATCAATCCTTTGCTTTTCCTCTCTCTGCCTCTCTTCTGCTGAATCATTTAGAGCATTAAAAAAACCTGAGAGGGTGGCCGTGGCTCATTTATGATTTTCAATAATGGATTCACAAATATTAAATATTTAGTAGAGGAACAGTGGGTGAGTACAATTCCCAAGCCAACAACAGAGGATAAACAAAGCAGCTGGGCATGAGTAAGAAACTACAGCTGTATCTACAAAAGAAGCGTAGAGGTTAACAAAAAGACAAAGTAGGTGGAATGAATAAAAGTTATTGCAAGTATAAGAAAGAAAAAAAAAAGCACAAAAACATTTACAAAATATTATTACACTGGAAGAAAACAGAGGCCAAGCTGCTTTAATGACAAGGATAAAGAGCATACAGTTACAAGTGATGGCAATAAAATACTGTGTTGGTTTGATAACATCCACTGTATAATGCATTCACCAATCAATAAACACTATCTGCCATGATTCAATTATGAGAGTGATTCCCTTCCTACTACACACATAATTTTGTTTATCTAAAATTGACTCGTTGACAAGACAGCAACAACCTTCAACAGTATGTTTATCTGTTTGTGTACACTGTTTGGWTTTTCAATCCCAGACAAGAAGCAGAAGCATCTTCACAAATGCCTGTTAACGGTGTTCAGTAAGAAATGTAAATGGTTTTATTTGTAAACTTTATTAGCACTTTTGATGTCTTGTGTCACATGGTGTGTTTTTGAATACACTGAGAACTTTTTAGCCCAGAGGCAAAAGTGCTACACCAGTCAGTGTTGTACCTGTCTAAACTAATTGTATTAATGACAAAACTGCAATGAAAAGCCACGTTGACATTATACAGTGTGTTACTTAAGCAGATTAGAGGTTCTTTCTGTTGTAGATAATGAATGTCATGATGAATAATATGCTGATAGCAGACATATGCTGCACAAAATAGGTACAGATCCTCAGGCAATAATCGAATGTGCCTAATTGTAAAACAGAGAAAAATACATGTTCCTTTTACATAATGACACATTAATATTACATATACATATACATATATATATATATACATATACATATACATATACATATATATA